CACACACAAACCGTGAAACTCTCTAACCATTAGGCCATGACTTCCCCCACGACTTATATATATATATATTGTGTATATATATATATATATATACAAAGACCTCTATCAAAGATATCTTAATACCCTTTTAGATTTAGGGTCTGAACAAACTTTCCTTTTGGCATCTTGATTGTTAAGGCCCTGTGTGGTTCATTTCCAGAGATACTGGGTTCTAAGAATGAACAATAAAAGTATAATTCTTTCAGCTTAGTTTAACACAGTTTGACCAGAGATTTGAGTCTGTCTTGACAAGGTCGTTTTCAGAATGGATCGTGATTATTTTGACCCCTGTCTTTATTTTGTTCAGTACTCGGGAGAGTTTGTGCAGTCAGCCTACTTGTCTAGACGGCTGGCGTATTTCTGCACACGCCGGCTCAATTTGCTGCTGAGCGATGGCAGTCTCGGACCAGGTCCAGGCGGACACCCGGCCCACGGCATTTCAGGACAGCAAGGGAACGCTTTGCCTCCGACCCCAACCTCCCAGCCTGCAGGGGGCAACCAGCCTCAAACCCCCTTCACAGACTTCTACATCTGCCCCCAGCACAGGCCCGTGGTGTTTGGACTCAGCTGCATGCTGCAGGTAATGGCATACTAGAACTGAAACGATTCCTCGAATACCTCGAGTAACTCGAATACAAAAAATAATTGAGGCACACTATTTCGTTACTTCGTTTAGTCTATTTATTGTAACTACACACGGAACACCGCGTTTCCCCACGGACCATTATTACTGACGCATAACCCGATAAACGCTGGATCATAGATTGTAAAAAAAGCGCTGGACATATTTAAGACCGTAAATCAATATGGTGGCTAGTTATGATGTCCCTACTTTAGCTATGTTTTGTGAAAGACTAAGCGCCATTCATGTTTATTGACACACTCCCCATAAAGTTATGCATAAAAATACCACAGAAAGAAAGTTAGTCAATATCACACGAAGAGTGCCAGTTTTCACCTCTAAAATCAGCGTAATTACAAATGCGATACTGATTTTATGCAACAGTTCAATAAACAAGAAGTTAATATTAAGAGTCTTAACTTTTAAACACCATATTGCCTGTTTTTGCTCTATTTCACGAACAGAAAATAATTCCAAACACAGCCACAGCACTGTTTTGCGTCTCTGAGCAACATGATGATGTCTCGTTCCTGAATGAATCAACCATTTAAATCAGGGGTGTCCAAACTCAGTCCTGGAGGGCCGATGTCCTGCAGAGTTTAGCTCCAACTTGCCTCAGCACACCTGCCTGGAGGTTATAGTATGCCTAGTAAGAGCTTGATTAGCTGGTTCAGGTGTGTTTGATTAGGGTTGGAGCTAAACTCTGCAGGACACCAGCCCTCCAGGACCGAGTTTGGACAGCCCTGGTTTAAATGATTCGGTTCAGTCGCAATGACTCACTTATTAACAGTGACTTGCTGCCACCTACTGGCGGTTTCACATTTAAAGCATCTTTTCATTTTTAGAATAATTGTAAATATCAGTATTCAATGTTTTATGTTTAAAATAACAAAATATTGTTTATGCATCTGTAACTGCAGGTTAAATGCATTCATGTCCCTCTGAGCTGAATTAAATAGTGTGTAAATAGGCCTACATCTAAATGCCTCTTCAGATGTAGCTTCTGTGTTTCTTCTGCATTGCAAAGATTAGTTTTGATACTGTTATCATTTGTTTGGTAACAGCCCAAATAGATTTTTGACAACAGTGAAATTGATTTTTGTATTTTTATTTATTTATTTTTATTTGTTTTTTGATTTTTTTTTATTGATATATTTGTATTTGCATTTTGAATGTAATTTGGCAAT